TTTTGGAAAGATCAACAAAATACATAGACCGCTAGCCAGACTAATAAAGAAGAAAAGAGAGAAGAATTAAATAGATGCAATAAAAAATGATAAAGGGGATATCACCACCAATCCCACAGAAATATAAACTACCATCAGAGAATACTATAAACACCTCTATACAAATAAACTAGAAAATCTAGAAGAAATGGATAAATTCCTGGACGCATACACCCTCCCAAGACTAAATCAGGAAGAAGTTGAATCTCTGAATAGACCAATAACAGGTTCTAAAATTGAGGCAATAATTAATAGCCTGCCAACAAAAATAAGTTCAGGACCAGATGGATTCACAGCTGAATTCTACCAGAGGTACAAAGAGGAGCTGGTACCATTCCTTCTGAAACTATTCTATCAATAATAAATGAGGGAATCCTCCCTAACTCATTTTATGAGGCCAGCATCATCCTCATACCAAAACCTGGCAGAGACAACAAAAAAACAGAATTTTAGACCAATATCCCAGATGAACATCGATGAGAAAATCCTCAATGAAATACTGGCAAACCGAATCCAGTAGCACATCAAAAAGCTTATCCACCATGATCAAGTCAGCTTCATCCCTGGGATGCAACGGTGGTTCAACACACGCAAATCAATAAATGTAATCCATCACATAAACAGAACCAACAACAAAAACCACATGATTACCTCAATAGATGCAGAAAAGGCCTTCGACAAAATTTAACAGCCCTTCAAGCTAAACACTCTCAATAAACTAGGTATTGATGGAACATATCTCAAAATAATAAGAGCTATTTATGACAAACCCACAGCCAATATCATACTGAATGGGCAAAAACTGGAAGCATTCCCTTTGAAATTCGGCACAAGACAAGGATGCCCTCTCTCACCACTCTTATTCAATATAGTATTGGAAGTTCTGGCCAGGGCAATCAGGCAAGAGAAAGAAATAAAGGATATTCAATTAGGAAAAGAGGAAGTCAAATTGTCTCTGTTTGCAGATGACATGGTGGTATATTTAGAAAACCTCAATGTCTTAGCCCAAAATCTCCTTAAGCTGATAAGCAACTTCAGCAAAATCTCAGGATACAAAATCAATGTGCAAAAATCACAAGCATTCCTATACACCAATAACAGACAAACAGAGAGTCAAATAATGAGTGAACTCCCACTCACAATTGCTACAAAGAGAATAAAATACCTAGGAATCCAACTTACAAGGAATGTGAAGGACCTCTTCAAGGAGAACTACAAACCACTGTTAAGGAAATAAAAGAGGACACAAACAAATGGAAGAACATTCCATGCTCATGGATAGGAAGAATCAATATCGTGAAAATGGCCATACTGCCCAAAGAAATTTATAGATTCAATGCTATCCCCATCAAGCTACCACTGAGTTTATTCACAGAATTGGAAAAAACTACTTTAAATTTTATATGGAACCAAAAAAGAGCCTGCATACCAAAGACAATCCTAAGCAAAAAGAACAAAGCTGGAGGCATCATGGTACCAGACTTCAAACTATACTACAAAGCTACAGCAACCAAAACAGCATGGTACTGGTACCAAAATAGATATATAGACCAATGGAACAGAACAGAGGCCTCAGAAATAACACCACACATATACAATCCTCTAATCTTTGACAAACCTGACAAAAACAAGCAATGGGGAAAGGATTCCCTATTTAATAAAGGATACTGGGAAAACTGGCTAGCCATACGCAGAGAGCTGAAACTGGATCCCTTCCTTACACCTTATACAAAAATTAACTCTCTCAGGAAGAATTAAAGACTTAAATGTAAGACCTCAAACCATATAAACCCTAGAAGAAATCCTAGGCAATACCATTCAGGACGTAGGCATGGGTAAAGACTTCATGACCAAAACACCAAAAGCAATGGCAAGTAAAGCCAAAATAGACAAATGGGATCTAATTAAACTAAAGTGCTTCTGCACAGCAAAAGAAACTATCAGCGGAGTGTACAGGCAACCTACAGATTGGGAGAAAATGTTTGCAAGCTATCCATCTGACAAAGGGCTAATATCCAGAATCTACAAAGAACTTAAGCAGATTTACAAGAAAAAAACAACCCCATCAAAAAATGGGCAAAGGATATGAACAGAGACTTCTCAAAAGAAGACATTTATACAGCCAACAAACTTAGGAAAAAGAGCTCATTATCACCGGTCATTAGAGAAATGCAAATCAAAACCACCATGAGATACCATCTCATGCCAGTTAGAATGGTGATCATTAAAAAGTCAGGAAACAACAGATGCTGGAGAGGATGTGGAGAAATAGGAATGCTTTTACACTGTTGGTGGGAGTGTAAATTAGTTCAACCATTGTGGAAGACAGTGTGGTGATTCCTCAAGGAGCTAGAACTAGAAATACCATTTGACCCAGCAATCCCATTACTGGGTATATATCCAAAGGATTATAAATAATTCTACTATAAAGACACATGCACACATATGTTTATTGCCACACTGTTCACAATAGCAAAGTCTTGGAACCAACTCAAATGCCCATCAATGTAGACTGGATAAAGAAAATGTGGCTCATATACACCATGGAATACTATGCAGCCATAAAAAAGGATGAGTTCATGTCCTTTGCAGGGACACGGATGAAACTGGAAACCATCATTCTCAGCAAAGTATCACAAGAGGAGAAAACCAAACACTGCATGTTCTCACTCATAAGTGGGAGTTGAACAATGAGAACACATGGATACAGGGTGGGGAACATCACACACCAGGGCCTGTCAGTGGGTGGGGGGCTGGAGGAGGGATAGCATTAGGAGAAATACCTAATGTAAACGACAAGTTGATGGTGCAGCAAGCCAGCCTGGCACATGTTTACCTGTGTAACAAACCTGCACGTTGTGCACATGTACCCCAGAACTTAAATTATAATAATAATAAAAATTAAAATCTTCTGTATGGTGAAAAATACCACTAATAAAGTAAAATGAAAAGTTACAGACTGGGAGAAAGTATTTGCCACATATGTAATGAAGCATTATTACCTGTAATATATTAAGAAGTTCCTACAAACCAATGCAAAAAAAGACTAACAACCCAGTAAAAAATGAGTTAACAAGTAATTCATGAAACAGAAATCCATATGACCAATACGCTTATGAATAGTGCTCAATACTTTGTAAGTGTGGTGGAGACTGTGATGGGCTTTCCAGATCCCCTTTGGCAATGAAGGACTTATTGCCCTTTATGGGGATTGTGTAGGCTGAAGAAAACTGCTTTGCCCAAGGCCACGCATCTCTCCCTGGGGGGCCCACATCCCATAACTGTTGATGACATGGAGGCTTAAAGGCCAGCTCCCTTCCCTTCAATTTAGCAAGGCTCTGAGGTTCATCTAGCTCTGTGGGGTTGGCTGAGGCCTTTGTTGAGACGGCATCACAGCTCAACTTCTTTCTTTGCCCAACCTTGCTTTCCTCTCCTTCCTTTCACTGGTGTTAATACCAAGAGCTCTCCCTAAAAATGTCCTGCACACTACTCTGTCTTCGAGTTGGCTTCCTGGGTAACCCAAACTGCAACTATTAGAACTAAGGAAATGAAAATTGTAACCAGTTAGTGTTTTCCCCATACCCATCAGCGTTTAGCACAACTTTAAAAGAATGAAAACACACAGTGTGGATGGGAGTGGGGAAATACACTCTCTTAATTATTGTTGGTAAAAGTGTAAACTGGTAGAACCTTTTTGGTATATAATTTAGAAGTATCTTTAAACAATAAAACTAAGCATATCCTTTGACCCAGCAATCACACTTCAAGAATTATCCAAAAGAAATAAGGAAGTTAATTACAGCCTGTTTGTAAAGAGAGGAAAAAACAAGTCAATAAGTAGTACATCCCTACTACAGAATACAAGGTAGTAAGTAAAATAAATTGTTAAGATGTGCATTTTAGGCTGGGTGCAGTGGCTCATGCCTGTAATCCTAGCACTTTGGCAGGCTGAGGCGGGTGGATCACATGAGGTCAGGAGTTTGAGACCAGCCTGGCTAACATGGCAAAACCCTGTCTCTACTAAAAATACAAAAATTAGCTGTGCATGGTGGCATGTGACTGTAGTCCCAGATACTCTGGAGGCTGAGTCAGGAGAATCACTTGAACCTGGGAGATGGAGGCCTCAGTGAGCCGAGACTGCACCACTGTCTTAAAAAAAAAAAAAAATGCATTTTGAAAGTAAGTTTTAAAACCACTTTGATAACCACTTAGGTAAAAATAACCTCCCGCCCATTTATAAATGTAACTGTATATAGCACAAGCCCCAAGAGGATTCTCAACATATGATTCAAGTAATTACCTAAGAAGAGGAGGAGAATGATGGGGAAGAGGTTGAAGGCAGACTTTCATATCTAATCTCTGTACTTCTGTCTAGAAAGCCTATAATAATTGTATTACTTGTGTAATTAAAAACAGCAGTTAAAAGAAAAAAGAAACAAACCAGGTGTTTTGACTCTTCTTTCCCATGTTTCATAGCTTTTTCCTCCTATTTGATCCTGAAGTTGTGGTTTGCATGAGTCCTGTGGCCTAGCAGAGCCCCCTGCTGGACCCCCATGAGAACTAACAAAAGATTGGACATTGTTAGGGAGAGCTGTTGGTATTAACACCTGTGAAAGGAAGAGGGGTTGGGCAGAGGGTGATGAGCTGTGATGCAATCTCAACAAAGGCTCAGCCAACCCCACAGGAACATCGGGGCTGGAGCTTATTTGGTAATTCTCTTTTGGCGTTATTTGAAGTGGTGGCTCTTTATATTAATTAAAGAGCCTCAAAATTGTGAAGAAGTGATCTTACAGCATATGTGAAAGCTGGAGGTTCAAAACCTGAGGGCTACAAAATCAAGGGCAGGAAATGACATTTGGGTTAAGGTTTGGGTTTCCAGTGGAGGAGGCTGGGACTGTCTGAGGGGACCACCTGGGAGCACGTCCACTTGCCTGGATTGAATGGCCTGGCTTAAGTCCTACCTGACCCATGATCCCGCCGAGCTCCCCCTGCAACATCTTCACTTGGTATTCTAGTAACTCGATGTTGCTCAGGGAAGACTGGTATTTATCCCTGTAGAGGCTTAAGCTCCTCTCTAGGGAGGCGATCTTGTCCCCGGCCAAGGCGAGTTGCTCCTGTGCCAAATGGAGCTTCTCCCCTGTGTTCTCGTTGTGATTTCCCATTTCCTCCTCATAGAGAATCACCTGTAGGTGTAGGAATAAATCCACATTGAGCCCATGGAAGCATGTAATGAGGAAAGGATGCAGTTGTAAGACTCCCTGCAGAGAAGTCTTATATCTAAACCAGAAGACCAGATGAACAGAAGAGAGGCTGCACAGATCTAAAAGCTACAGTATGTAATGTCAAGATGTTAATGATTGGAAATAAAAAAAGATGGCCTAGTTAGAGGTAAGCTCCTTTAGGGCAGGGACCATATCCATTTCCTATTCTGCCCAGCATGTGGTAGGAACTCAGTAAATACTTGCTAGTTGACTAAGAGGAAATAATTTTTATAGCTCTGTTTTTTTAAGGGCTTGAAATGCTGGTAGTTTTTCCTTTCCAGGCATTCTCTAGAAGTTGAACTTAGAAAATGTAGACTTTCTCCCGCACACAGGGCGATGTCCACAAAGTTCCCAAGAGATAGGTGGGGAATGTGACCCAAAGTTCCTCTGGGATTTGCACAATCCTTATTTAGATTTATTTTCTTCCTTATCAAGTAATTAGTCAACCAACAGACAGATATTTATTGAAAGCTCATGAGCATTGTGTTAAGGGCAGAAGGGATATATACATATTAGACATATGCTCACCCCTCAAAGAGTTTAAAACTTTCACAATCTTGGGGAGATAAGAGTTAAAATGAATAAACAGCTGTAGGTAGTTGAGTGTGCTAAATCATATGACTTGAATCTGATGTGTTGAAGGAGTTAACAGCAGAAGAGTCATCAAGGATGACTTTATATTAGTTTAAATAATCCAATGCAGAATGCTGATAGAACATGTTCCATTAGTTGAAGCTCATTATACTTGCTGCCTGTCATTTGAGATTCTTCTCAGGAAAGGATAACTTTGTGTGAGGTATCTACTATGTAAGGAGAAGAAGAGAGGAATATTTTATATCCAAATATTCGTAACCGAAGCTATCAGTGGCCAGCCCATATCCCCTGGGCACTTGCTATTTCTTTGCAAGCTAACCCCATTCCCACTGCAAGCATATTCAACTCTGCCTGAGGGCTTCTCTGATACCGGGAGCCCATTCAACCAGAGAGGGAAGACAGGGTAGGTCAGAAGCGCTGGGGAGTTAACACCCTCAGGAGCAGCCCTCAACCAGTGACTGGGGTGTGTTGGTGGGTTCACTCTGAGGCATGTCCTACACTATCTGCCAGAGTTCCCCAGAGGGACCAAGCAAGCAGTCTGTTCAATACCAATGTTCTTTATGGGCTTCCGGTCCTTCTTTGACTCACTTGCTCGTGTGCTTGCAGGAATCACCTCCGAAATTAGTTACTTGTGTTTATAGCCTTGTTTTAGGGTCTGCTGTTGAGTGAACCCAACCTTAGACAGAAGTTTGATGAGGCTGTGCAACAAGACATTGGGGGAACTTGGCAGAATGTCTAAAATCATTTTCTCAGTGCTTTCTCGGTTTGGGATCTTTGACAGTGACTGTTGTTTGCTGAGTCCCATATCTGTTCTCCCGCTCTTCCTTAGTAATTGAGCCTTGACTCTACTGGGGGCAGCAACGCACCTCCTAAAACACCACATTTCCTAGGCTTCCTAGAAAGTAGCTGTTGCCGTGTGACTAATTCTGGCCAGTGATATTTAAGTGAAGGTGTTGTGGCTTCCGGAAAGTGTCCTTAAAAGGAGGGGAGTGTGCCTTTCCTTTCCACCTTTGTCACCTGGTCCCCTGCCCATTTATCTGGATTATTTGGAACAAGGATGTGGCCGAGTATGGTGGCTCACGCCTGTAATCCCAGCACTTTGGGAGACCAAGATGGGTGGATCACCCGAGGTCAAGAGTTCAAGACCAGCCTGGCCAACATGGTGAAACCCCATCTTTACTGAAAATACAAAAATTAGCCCAGCGTGGTGGCACATGCCTGTAATCCCAGCTACTCAGGAGGCTGAGGCAGGAGAGTCACTTGAACTCGGGAGGCAGAGGTTGCAGTGAGCCGAGATTGGGCCAATGCACCTCAGCCTGGGCGACAGAGTGAGACTTCGTCTCAAAAAAAAAAAAAAAAAAGGATGTGACGGTTGGAGCTCCATGAGGCACCTCAGGTGACTTAGAGAATGGAAGCCCTGAGCTGATGATGGTGGAACCCAAGGATAGACCCTTAGACCTGATGACACATACAGCTGCCATAACAGCAACAGACCACCTGTCTCTGACCTTTTTAAATATGACACAGAAGTAAACTAGCTTATTCATTTTCTGTTATATGCTGCTAAATAGAATCCTAACTCATTCAGGGTCGCTTGATCCAGGCTGAACCCTTTTGTTTAAGTTGTACTGAACCAGTAAGTTTTGACACAGCCTTGCACTGTCTTTTTAAAACTACGTGTGTGTGCACAGGCTTAGTCACAGATTATATTTGTAGGGTTAGAATAACCTTTCTCTGTTCCTCCCACTCTCAATTCTTTTCAGTAAATTTTCACTAGGTGACAATATTCCCTTTTAAAAAAGTTTATGGTCTTTAAGGTTGCTCCTAAAGTCTTTAAAGTTAGTCCTTAAGCAAGAGCACCATCCAAAACACTCTTTGAAATTTTTTTTCTTCTCTGTCCTTCAAATAGAACCTAACTCCTTGAAATTTTATCTTTAAATCTAAAGAAAGAAAATGCCAGGGGAAACCCCAGGATGGAAGAGTATGTCTGTCTCATCACTTAGAACCCATGGTTTACTGCAGCTAGTGCTATCACTGCTCAAGTGGTTTTAGTGCTGCAGCTTTGGGTCCTTGGAATTTACCTGGGATTCTGCAGGGATGCTACTCTTTGGCTTAGAAAATACCACCCTGGAACATGAATGGGAATTAATGCCCTGAATATACTTAAGTGAAGTCTATATGATCTAAAACTCCAGTCTGAAAAAATTATCTGGTACTCTCAATGATTGACTCCCAGTCAACGTCAACGTCTGGTTATCTTATCTAGTGTGCAGGTGCCAGGAATTTATATATTATCAAGACCTTATTTTTCTAAAAATAGTGGATTTAATGGACCTTATACCTTTTTTATAACCCTCAGAGACCTACAGTCTTTTGCATTTAAATTGCAATGGTAATAGAATGGAGAAGATGAGCTTACACACACACACACACACACACACACACACGCCTGCACACACATTCCACATATTCCACATGCATGAATACTGGAGATCTCACCCAGTTACACCATTCAGTTTAGTTTCCTTCTGCTCAGCTTCAAAAAGATCAAGAATTAAAGGGGAAAGTTTATAAAACCTGCTTGAGATGTTGCAAAGCTCTCCTAAGTCCAACATCTGCTTTCTAGTGGGCTTAGTCTGATTTCTGCAGGTAGCTAAGAATGTGGGGTATTTCCATGGTTAATCTTTCTATACCTCATCTTCTTTCAGTTTGCAGTGATGGTGCAGAAGAACCAGGTCAGAAGTCTGCTTTTCTAGGATGGACTGATACTGGCGGAGAGAACAGTAAGAAGTCTGCAACTCCTCTGTGCGAAACTCCAGTTCTTGTTGAAGGGCCAGCAATTTTTTCTTCAGTTGCTGGAGTTGCCTCAGATGACACTGTTTACTGGACCCAAATTCCATCTCTGACTCCTCGAATGCTAATGCCTGTGCTTGCTTCTTGTTCTACAATAGAGACAGGATATACAGAAAAGGCTTTAGGTCATCACTCAGGATGTATATTCATTCCAGGATTGTTTTCATTTGTTCAGTCATTCACATCCATCTATTCATCTTTTTATCTCTTCATCTACAGATAACTTATTAAACATTTCACTCTATTCACAAGGAAATGTATCACTTAGTATTCCCACTCAGTAAGATGAATTCAATAGAAGAAAAAAAAATGGTTCTTATCCACCAAAATCTTATTATTTAGGTCAGAAGAAAAAAAATATACACATAAAGGACCTAGAGAGATATGTGTAATAATATGCTCAGGTGTTGCCTTCCCATATAAAGATAACACTAGTGACTTGGAAGGAAATGGATTTCTGGCCATGGTTCTTGGACTAAACTTGGTATTAAAAACACCTGGGTAAAGGAGCATTGCAAAGAGTCAGTGGTGAGTTCTTGGGGATTTTGAAATGCTGAAAAATGAGAGCCAGAGATATTGTTCAGGTACATCTGGGCACTGACTCTGTCTCCTTCTCCTGAAGGAAGATGTGACCTTGTAGATGCTGACTCTGTCTGTGTGTGTGTGTGATCTCTTCTTGCTAATCCACAATCTACCTGAAATGCTGCTAGTCTTATCCTACATTTTCATTCATTCATTCTTCATTCATTCATTCACTCAACAGACACAGGCTAAGCACCTAGGTTGTACCAGGTATTCTGCTGGTAGGACACATCCCTGTGTTGCCGATGCTTCTATATTTCCTATACTTTCCAGCATCCCTTATGACAATGATATGTGAGGAAAAGGTGGATAAAGAGGGTAGCCTGTGGGCAGTCCTTAGCATCCAACCCTGCTTATTCTCCTCCTACTCATTCTTTAAGATCCTGTTTAAATCCTGCTCTCCTTCCTGTTTTTTCCCTGCAAAGTTGTCTTTGCACCAGTACCACAGACTTTGCTAGCATGTCCTTAATGTGGTATTCTGTATTCTGTCTGTAATTATTTCTGTGCATTTTAACTTCTAATTAGGTTATAAACTCCTGGAGGGCAGGGCCATGTCTGCTCTTATAGGGCCTAGATTATAGATTCATACATACCTATGTATTGAACGAAAGAAATGAAAATAGAGTCCAAGCAATCTCATTGGCTTCCAAGGGTTTGAGCCTGTGGCGTTGGCCTCATTAACAGAGTACTTCTAATACAGTGGCTTTCCAATTTTTAAACTAACTTTTTGAAAACAGATTTATTGAGGTATACTTTGCATATCATGAAATGCAACCATTGTTAAGTGTGCAATTCAATGACTTGTAATAAACTTTAGAATTGTGTGACCATCATTACAATCCAGTTTTAGAACATTTCTATCAACCCCCCAAATTTCCTCATGCCCATTTTCAGTCACTCCTGCTCCTTCCTCCAGCTCCAGGCAACCACAAATCTGCTTTCTGCCTCTATGGATTTTCCGCCTTTTCTAGATGTTTCACACATGGAATTGTATAATATGTCATTTTTTGGCTTCTTTAATTTAGCATATATATATATTTTTTATTTTTTATTTTGAGACAGAGTCTCTGTCACCTGGGCTGGAGTGTAGTGGTGTGATCTTGGCTCGCTGCAACCTCCACCTCCCTGGTTCAAGCGATTCTCATGCCTCAGTCTCCCGAGTAGCTGGAATTACAGGCATGCACCACCACACCCAGCTAATTTTTGTATTTTTAGTAGAGATGGGGTTTTGCCACGCTGGTCAGGATGGTCTCAAACTCCTAAGCTCATGTGATCTGCCCGCCTTGACCTCCCAAAGTGCTGGGATTACAGGTGTGAGTCACTGTGCCTGGCTGCGTAATATTTTTGAGGTTTGTCCAGGTTGCAGCAAGAATCAGTATTTGAGGCTGGGTGCGGTGGCTCATGCCTGTAATCCGAGCACTTTGGGAGGCCGAGGCAGGTGGATCACGAGGTCAGGAGATTGAGAACATCCTGGCTAACACAGTGAAACCCCGTCCCTGCTAAAAATACAAAAAAATTTAGCTGGGCGTGGTGGTGGGCGCCTGTAGTTCCAGCTACTCAGGAGGCTGAGGCAGGAGAATAGCGTGAACCTGGGAGGCGGAGCTTGCAGTGAGCTGAGATCACGCCACTGCACTCCAGCCTGGGTGACAGAGTGAGACTCTGTCTCATTTGGTTTATCTGTTCACCAGTTGATGGATATTTGGGTTATTTAAGTTTTTGGCAATTATGAATACTGCTGCTATGAACATTAACCATACTAGCCTTTGTGTGGGTATGATATTTTCATTTAATTAATGTGCTCAGCAAATAATGTGGTACACCTACTATATCAAGAACTACACTAGGTAATGGGGATATAGCATTATATAAAACAGACAAATCCCAACTTTGTGGAGTTTGCATCTAAAATGGGGAGAGAGAAAACTAAGCAAGTATATATGTAGTGTATTAGAAGGACAAAATGCAATAGGGAAGAGTGAAATGGGAGGAAGATGAGGAAAGCCAGGATGGAGGAGGTTATATTTTTGAATTAAATGTTTGCATGGAGGACCAAATTGAGAAGCTACATTTAACCCAAAACTTGAAGGAGGCAAAAGAAGGCATCTGGAATGCTCTAGGGAGAGATGGCCCTGGAAGTGGAGGCATGCCTGGTGATATTTGAGGAGCCCCAGGGGTTGCAGCCACTTTTTTTTCTGGCTGGAGCAGAGACAGTAAGGGGGAAAGCTGTACCTGATGGAATGAGATAGGAAAAGAAGGTGAGGTCTTTAGGACTGTATAGCCATTCTCGAGACTTTACCTTCTTTCAGGGAGATGAAAGACCTTTGGAGGGTACTGAGCAGAGGAGCAGCATGATCTCCCTGAGCTTTTATGAAGGACACAATGGCTGTTTATCGGTAATCAACTCTAGGCAGGCAAAGACAGAAGCAGAAAGACCAGGTACGAGGCTACTGCAATAATCCAGACAAAGGATGATGGCAATGGAGGGTGGGAGAAGTGGTTGGGTTCTAGATGTATCTTGAAATGACAGGACACAGGATTTGCTGCTGGGTTACAGGTTGGATGATGGGACATGATGGTCATCCATAACAGATGATGCCAGGGTTTTGGTCTGAGTAACTGGGGAGATGGAATTTTAATGAGATTGATTCAGTAAGAGCTGGAACCTGAAAGACAAAAAACCTCTACTGAGAGTGGTGGCGGCAGCACAGAGAAGGTAAAGGAGGCTCAACCCAGTCCAGAACCAGAAAGATGATAGCTGATTGTGTCAGTACAATCTGAATGATGCTTTCCAAGCTCTAGTGGAAGTGTCTCATCCTAAGTGCCTCAGAATTAAGAAGACAGACAGAGAAAATGGACCCACTATGGTCACTAGGCAAAAGAAATCCTAGGCAGAGACACGCTGAATGCTTGGCCTGAATCCAGTATATGTGACTAGGGGAAAGTTGATGAGACCTCTTTTCTAAGCTGAACAAAGCTAAATTTTGTATTTACTTTGTGTAGCTATAATTGCCAGCATTTATATTAAATGTTGTTGTTTAGGGCTTTCATTCTTTTCAAGATAAGAACAGTGCTAGTCTCACAACTCATCTGTGAATGAGGTGTGGAGAGAACAGAGTCGGGAGTAGCGTGTGTGGTGTGCTCATGTCTGTGTGTACCTGCACATGCATGGATACAGGGGCTTCTGAAGAGCCTGAGTCCTCCTGCTTATATAGTAAGTTAACAGGGTGGGGAGCTACCTGGAAAAAACATGATCACAAATAAGTACTTAACATGGACAGAATTAATGCGAAGGAGTGAACATCTGGGGTAAGGTTAATTCAGAAGGGCTTATTTTAGTATATATCCAATAAAATTCTTATCAGGCCAGGCATGGTGGCTCACCCCTATAATCCCAGCACTTTGGGAGGCCAAAGTGGGTGGATGGCTTGAGATGAGGAGTTCAAGACCAGCCTGAGCAACATAGCGAGACCCCCATTACTACAAAAAATAAAAATAAAAAAATTAGCCAGGCATGTTGGCACGTGCCTGTAGTCCCAGCTACTTGAGAGGCTGAGGCGAAAGAATCACTTGAGCTCTGGAGTTCGAGGCTTCAGTGAGCTACGATCACACCACTGCACTCCAGCCTGGGCAACAGAGCAAGATACTGTCTCCAAAAAAACCTTTGTCAGATTTTGCCAAAATCCTTTTTATTTTGCTTTTTATTAAGCATCTGTCCACTGCTGAGTGTGTATAACCCTGCTGAAAACTAACCGTGGTCTCCTGTTGTATATTCATTCTTTGCTTCTCTTTCCTTCCACATCCCTATTTTTTCTTCACTGCCCAGAAGAATGAGAGAAATGCTCTTCTTTTAAAAGAAGTCAAACTCTCTCTCTCTTTAGGGCTTCCCCTCTGGTACCTGGTACACCCATCTATACCTAGGTGTGTTTAGAATTGCTCTCTGGCCTTAAAGCTTCCTGTGGGAAATAAACATCTTTCCTAAATGTTGTGTATAAAGCTTAGCAGTCTGGCATGGATACTGGTGAGATGTCAATGCTTTATTTTCCCCAGAGGTCATCTTGAATCTTCTGGGTTTAATTTTGGTCTCAGGAAACATGATGGGCTAGCCAGATGATGAAAGTTCATGCAACTCTTCCAGTACAGGACAAATATAGCACCCAACCTAATTTGCCTGGTTATAAAGATCCAAGGACTGCTTCTATCTGCAGAGAAACTAGAGTTCTTTGGATAGGAATTTTAAACATTTGCACACTATAGATATCAATGGGTTTAGAGGAATCAAATTTCAAAGACTTGGAGAAATGCCTAGACTTACTTGAGACCTATTAAATTTCTACTTATTTATCCTTATGCATTCAAAAGTTTATTTTTCTAAATTCTAAAGGAATAGAAAATGACACACTATGGATTAAGCCTACACTTCACTTACAAATGTGCTGAAGAGCAGTATCACAAAGACACCAACTTATTTCCTATTGCTTCTTTGTCTTTTTTTCTTTAAACATTCTTTCTAATGAAGATGCAGATATTTTAATAGAGTCTTCTTTGACTTTTAAACTGAGATCTGAAGAAAATAAGCATGTTGAAAGACTAGTTCTTACAGAGGTGAGACTAGTTCTTAAAATGACCATCTGGAATGAGATGTGATTCTGGAGGCCATCTGGTCTACCAGGTTTCTCAGCTGGATTTCTATCCAGGTCTCAGCTGCTTGAAAAGATGGGGACTGCTGGCTGTCCATAGGAACCTGTTCCCATATTTAGTCAACCTTTCAGCCCTACTTGTGGTCAAAGAGATTATAGCTATTACTCCTTCCTTGCCTATGTGGCCACTTGATCACAGAAGGAAATTAATTGGCCTGGCATGATTTGCCTTTTGAAAAGTCACGTTGGTTTCCACCCAATACTTTGTGCTTTTCAAGTTGATGCTAATTGATTGATGTTAAGTTCTGTATTTTCCTTGTACTGAAGTTAAGCTGACAGGTCTATAATTACCAGGATTGTCCTTTTTCCCTTTCTAAAAAGATGAGCACTTCATTTACCCTTTTTCAGTCTACAGGGACTTTCTTTATCCTTTTGAGTTCTCAAAAATAATCACTAGCAGCTATGTAATAACACCTGCCAATTCCTTAAGTACTCTTCGAAGTATGTCATCAGGCCCTGCTGATTTGCCTAAAGCTGGCTTTTCAAAATACTTTTTAACCATTTGTTCCCTGTTCTAGTTTGCGCTGACTAGGTTGGCATTGTTCTGATAACTGAATCCCTAATGATTTTTTTTTTTTTCATTTAAGAACCAAAAAGTCTCACTATCTTTTTTTAATGGAGATTTTTTTCTTTATTGAGAAACTTAAGACTTGCACATCAAACTGAATTAATTTCCTGGGGAGGGGACTAAAATCCACAATAGAAAAAAGAAGTTAACACTGTCTGGGCCACAGCACAACCAGAGAATACATTTGTATAGCTGAAAAATTCTAAGTGCTTCATATTTGACCTTTTGATACAGCATGATCTATTAAATTTGTGATAGGTATTCTTGGTGTTGAGGCCCATAGAACAATATAGGAAGTCTGCAAACTTTCAGCTGAATTGCATGAGGGATTATTTGGCTTTTGAATCAGTTTCTCCTTGTTCACGAGGTAGCAGCAGCAACCATTAGCACAGATGAGGACTAACTTACTTTTCAGTCATTGTCATGAACTTCTTTTCCTAACTTTGAGGTAAGTGGGATATTTCCTTTGAACTCTAGTTTAGCCTTATATCACTGGATAGGTTTATCTGCTTTTTTTTTTTCTTTTTTTCTTTTTTTTTTTTTTGTGAGATGGAGTCTCACTCTGTTGCTGAGGCTGGAGTGAAGTGGCATGCTCTCGGCTCACTGCAACCTCTGTGCCCTGGATTCAAGCGATTCTCCTGCCTCAGCCTCCTGAGTGGCTGGGACTATAGGCGCCTGCTACCATTCCTGGCTAAGTTTTGCATTTTTGGTAGAGATGGGGTTTCGCCATGTTGGCCAGCCTGGTCTCGAACTCCTGACCTCAGGTGATCCACCCGCCTCAGCCTCCCAAAGTGCTGGGATTACAGGCGTGAGCCACAGCACCCGGACTTATCTGTTACTTTTTACGTCTTCTACAAATTGCATTTCTTGTACTTCCTTGTACTAGTAGAGCAGAGAACTGTATGTTTAAGTGACATGAATTTTAGATGCATCTTTCTGATGTAGACATTCTTCTCACTAGTGACTTCTGCTTGCCTGAGATTCACTTAAAAAAAAAAGTATTTTAGAATAATTTTTGATTTACAGAAAAATTGCAAAAGTAGCCCAGAGAGTTCCCATGTGTTCTTCATACAGCTTTCCCTAAGGCAAACTTCGTAAATAACTGGGTACATTTGTCTAAACTAAGAAATTAATGTTGGAAGATTACTATGAACTATACCTTATTGGATTTCACCAGTTTTTCCACTAATGTGTTTTCTCTGTTCCAATATCCAATCCAGGATTTCACATTGCATTTAGAAGATTCAGTGAAATATTTTTTTTTCCATTCCCAATGATTCAAAATGATACTGTGTAATAATGCCCATCAAGATTCTACTAACTTTACATCTTCAACAAATTACTTTTATCCACAGGAATCAAACTCGCCTTATATAGTTTTATGCTAAAAATAGTGTCCTCTGTACACTTCAAAGATGAGTTTGGCAATCTGAGCTCTACTGAATATCATGGCATGCACCCTATGCCACCATCAGAGAATGGAGCCTGGGAAAATTGCTCAAAAGGCCCTTTCTTTTCTGGTTTGATCATTTTATTATGATATCTCTGTTGTTCTTTTCTCCTTTCACTTTAATTGAGATTCTCTTTTGATTACTGGGCAGGCCCAGGACTACGGTGAGGCAAGTGAGATGCAAATTTTAAGGAGGCACTCAGTCTCAGGGTGGAGCACATGCAGGTTGGCACCTGAAGAACTTGTGCCCATGAATTTTGCACCTTAGCCACCCCATTTGCTTCGCCCTATTTCCTGCTCTGTTCCTGGGATTGGGAGCATAACGTAGTTTTGATTTGCAAGGTCATATCACTCACCCCTTCCCTGCCACTCCTTTTGTTATACATAACATCTAATGTAATATTTTAATCTTTTTGCATAATTGTGGTCGTAAACTCTGACCTCCTGCTTGTTTCCCTAGCTCCTTGTTAGAGGGTAGTCAGAATTTCAGAAAGTCCTAGTTTCCCTTTTGTTCCCATATTACATTTCCATGTGGAAGGCAGATCTTAAAGGGATTTTCTGGGCAGATGAGTGTAAGTCTACATCTAATTGTGTATTTGTATGCGTAGTCTGCTATTTAAATTCTGCACTAAGTGCTAGGGGAAAAAAGAGCCCGCTTTAAAGCTTGTTTCAAGCTGTTAGACCTTCTTCTGGGCAATTAGAATAATAAAATGCAATTTAATACCTTTCTCCTTCCAAGTTGCCAGGTACGTTTATAAGCCACATGGCTTTTCCTGACTGGGGGAATAAGTAAACTCATGACAGCAATGGTGAAAATATCCTAAACTGTTAATATTTAGAAAGAAGTAAATTATGATAATCTTCTTCCTGAGATCCATTTAGGAAACCAGTGGATTTTTCTCTATTTGTGACTTCCTGAGGAAAGCAATGCTTAGAAGATGAAGTAGAAATGCTTTGTTGGTAGTATTTCTAGGGCATTGCAGAGGAACAGTTTGTGGTTTCAATAGTGAGACGGTAAGTCCTGGGAGAACTCTTACAGACGCAATGAAAAGAGGCCAGATCCTTGACCACCAACAGTGAAGAACACGGTGGCGGCTTCACAGCCTCCCAGAGGCTAACTTTGGGTGTCCAGCAACAGGTCTGTGCAGCCAGGACCTGCTTTCTGTTTACCAAGAACTCAAGTCACTAAATGGAAATGAAGACCACAAGTAAAGAATTCTTGGAAACCCAGTGTTTAGAGAGCTGTGGGAAAATATCTCCCAGCTGGCTCCCCAGCTTGTGTGGATAAATTTAGAGACTGACTTAAAGACCTTAGATTTAGAGCTTCCAAAGAAAGCAGACCTCAGGCTGAAATGAAATTACCTCAGCTGATGAATAGCTTAGACTCTAGATAAGTATTAGTCCAAAATCACAGTCTCAAGAAAGATGCTCATGCCCGGGGGTCTGCATGTTCACACATGCGGAGGATCAGCGCTACTGAGTGTCTTGGCTTGGGCACCCCTGAAAGCAGGCTCTGTGACAAGGAACTGAGGGTCAAGTAGTAGTTGATGTGGGAGGTGGTCTTAGTAAACTCTGGCTGGGGAGTGGGAGACTGAAGGAAGGGAAGGAAGCAGATAAAAGGTGTGTCCACTCATTGATTGATGGGCATTTGGCTGGTTCCATATTTTTGCATGTGGTGTATATATACAATGGAATACGACTCAGCCATAAAAAGGAATGAATTAATGGCATTTGCAGCGACCTGGATGGAATTGGAGACTATTATTCTAAGTGAAGTAACTCAGGAATGGGAAACCAAACATCATATGTTCTCACTTATAAGTGGGAGCTAAGCTATGAGGACGCAAAAGCATAAGAGTGAAACAATGAACTTTGGGGACTCTGGGGAAAGGCTGGGGGTGGTGAGGGATAAAAGACTACAAATTGGATTCAGTGTATACTGCTTGGGTGATGGGTGCACCAAAATCTCACAAATCACCGCTAAAGAACTTACTCATGTAACAACAACAACAACAACAACAACACTGGGTTAAAAAAAAAAGGTGTGTCATCAAGTCGGGTACCACTGTGAGCAACTGGGCTCAGGTGCATTGAGGAAGTCTGTGAGACAGCATGCTTCGGGTTACCCCTGACAAGGGAGAAAGGAAGGTGGGAGATGGAATCTACTACCTCCTCATCTGACATTGCTTGAAGGTTGCTTCTAGAGGCATTAACTCTTGAGAAACTGAGCTTGTCCTATTACCAGGTTCCTGCATCCAGAAGAAAAGCTTACAGGCAGTAAGACACAGGTGCAGCAACAAAGATCCTCTGCTACCCTGATGCCACTGATACCTTGGAGCAGGTGTGATGGTTTTTATTTTCATGGTTGACTTAGAAGTTTGTCTGAGATCCATAGCAGATGCTGCTCCCCTTGTATCACTATGATCTGATATTTTCAGGGCAACGGGTTGTAAATACAGGTGTGAAAGGCCCGATAAGGAAAACATTGTGCCTAGGATGTACATGACCTTGGAGATAGATGGAAAAATCCTGAAGGCAGGAATGGCATTTTCCGTGTGTATGTGTGTTGGGGTGTGCGTGTTTAATTCTCTTAATTCTCTCTCATTGCTTGCTCAATAAGTACTCTTGAATGAACAGTGGAAGAACTTTCTATTATCCCCGCCCAAGGGAAGAGAGGCAGAAGTTGAGGGAGCAGGGGTGAGCGGCCGCTGCCAAGTCCCTTACGTGGTTGCTGTTCATTGCCTCCTCCATGCAGAGCTGATTGTCCTGCAAGGTCTTCCTCTGTCTCTTGCAGACATCGTGCAGATTCTTGATGTCAACTTGCAGGCTTAACAGCTTGCTGTTCAGGCTGCTCACTTCTCTGTCTCTCTCCCCCGCCTAGGCAGCCAGAAAAACAAAAGCATCAATTATAAGCTATCAAGAAAGTGCTTGCTTTCGTTCACTTAACAGGTTGACAGAGACTTGAAATTTGCTGGAAATTTGTCCATCAACCGTTAGCTGTTATTACTCATCCTGTGTAACGTTTACACAGTTTCCAATTGCCAGGTGTCTGAGCGCTCTGCATTATTCAGACAATTACTGATTTATATTAATTAATCTTCACCACACTGCTGAGGGTGCACCACAGACAATTCCCCTGTTTTTCAAGAGGAAGTCAGTGCCTAGAATAATTCTAGGCACCTAGTGGACTGTCTATAAATATTAATGGCTCTGCCACTGATGAACATATTGAGATGTCAAATGAACTTGTCAAGACAAGTATAGTGAATCCATGATGGGCTTGATACGGGATTCTGAAGTCTCTTACCTTTCTCTTCTACCCACTAGACTACCAAAAGATCTCCTTCACCTATAAACCCAGTGCTTTTCTTTTTTTTTTGAGACGGAGTCTCGCTTTGTCACCCAGGCTGGAGTGCAGTGGCACAATCTTTGCTCACTGCAAGCTCTGCCTCCCGGGTTCACGCCATTCTCCTGCCTCAGCCTCCCGAGTATCTGGGACTACAGGCACCCGCCACCACTCCCGGCTAATTTTTTTATATTTTCAGTAGAGACGGGGTTTCACCGTGTTAGCCAGGATGGTCACGATCTCCTGACCTCGTGATCTGCCCACCTCGGCCTCCCAAAAGTGCTTTTCTTTAGAGGCATTCACAATGGGAACAAAGTGAGATCCCTGGGCTGGTGGTGTAAGTTCTGTCTTTGATTATGAGTGAAAAGAATTAGCTAATTGTTGCTAGATGGGGATGGAAAGTAGTGATTGAGATATAAATAGAGTGTGTGGGGCATAGTAACTTGGGTGGGGGTGCGGGTGCAGAGCTGTTGTAGGAGGGTGGGGCTTTATCATACCAGGATGCCACCTCCACTCCCAGAGTTGTGGGTGGTAATGGTGTGAAAAGGAATGAGGAAGAAGTCCTGTGTGAACCTGTGTAGTGCTTCAGTTCTGTCACGGTGCTGGTTTTCTACAATGCTCATGAGCACAGGTGTTACTGCTGCTGAGTTTTAAATCTAGGAACTGAGGCTGGTTCCTTCATGGTAAGTACATGGTTTGGCTCTGTGTCCCCACCCACATCTCATCTCAAATTGTAATCCTCACGTGTTGAGGGAGGGACCTGGTGGGAGGTGATTGGGTCATGGGGGTGGTTTCTCCCATGCTGTTCTTATAATAGTGAGTGAGTTCTTACAAGATCTGATAGTTTAAAAGCGTGGCACTTCCCCTCACTGTCTCTCTCCTGCTGCCATGTAAGATGTGCCTTGCTTCCCTTTTGCCTTCTGCTATGATTGTAAGTTTCCTGAGGCCTCCCCAGCTATGTGGAACTGTGAATCAGTTAAACCTCTTTTCCTGATAAATTACTCAGCCTCCAGTAGTTCTTTACAGCAGTGTGCAAATGGACTAATACAGTACCTATCTCTTAGGTTAGATTACCGAGAGGGTTCTTAAGTGAGGATACATGGCATCTATTAAAGAAACACTCCCAAGAAAAACCAGCATGGAAGAAGGGGAAGCAGGATAGGGAAGGGGTAAAAACCAAGTACAGGTACATTTTCAGAGAATCCTGTGGGCAGTAATTTTAGCCTGCTCATATAGGAAACTCTGGAATATGAGCTACACCTTAGAGTCTGTCCCGATTGGTGTCAGTGAAAGCTGGGCTGTCAAACTCAGCATCAGTCAGTCAATGGCCAATGGCCATCCCATGGGTTACAAGCAACTAAGAACTTCCAGCTCTCTGCCCCTGTAGGCAGTGACTTCAGTAGTCTAAAGACAATTCTTCTAAGAGAGTTACAGCTGCAAAAGTGCACAGTAGGCAGGGGATAGGTGCATGGAAATAGTGAAGGGAACTAAGCCACAGTGCCCAAGGTCTCACATCTGGTTAGCAGTAGGGCCAGGACAGCACGTTCTTCCTGACCCTGTAGCTGGTGCTCTGCCATCATATCCGACTGACTGGTTTGTCTTTTGAAATATATGAGCTGCATAACACACATTCCCAGAGGAACTGGAGACCTGATATGGGCATCGTAAATCAAGCCTTACTGGACAGGTCAGTTTAAAGGACTCCTACACAAAGCCGAGGGGGGCCGGAGGACAACGGCGAGAATCGGACATTGCAATGTCAGAGTATTCGGAATTCAGAAGGTTTCCCAGAACTGCTGCTGTCTCCGCTGATTTATTTCTTCATTTCCATTTAGTACCTGGATTTTTTTTTAACCACTTTACAGTTTAATTAGGTTAACGGCATGGCTCTGTCATTAAAAGGATTTCATTATCTCAAAACTCTCCCTCCTCCTCTCTTGCTCCCATCCTTCGTTCCTCACTTCCAGAAAAATAACAGTGGATGTCAACTGCCCCAAGCATGTAATTACCATTAAGACAATTACCAGGGACTCTCTTAAGAGAATATGTGTAGAGTGGCCTTAAAAAATGGTGTACAGACACTGTTTTCTAACTTGGAAACAAAATGCTTAACTCGATAAAGAGTGGTAGTTTGATTCTGGTGCTTTGGATCCCTTTCCTGTGGTTACCACACTGGGAATAGGGTATGGAGCCTCTCCAGGAAGTGGGACCCTAAGGAACCTCTTCACTCTGGCCACAGGACTGTCTTTCTTTGGCATCTACGAGCAGTTTAGGTGACAACAAGATGCCTGTTCCACAGGAGAGCCAAATACCCTATATTCTTGCCTTGGTGTTGAATATATGTGTCTTAAGGCAGGAACCCTGACAGCATACTGTTCCCCATGGAGACTAGTACACTGAAGGCTCACTAACAAAATACCAATGATACACACTTGAGTTTCTCTAAATTAAAAGTTAAGTGCTCTCTCTCAGGCCAATAAAAATATCCTTTCTCCCTCCAGTTTTGGATGTCCTCTGAGTAGAAGGCCTGATAGCCCAATTCTTTTGCACCACCAGAAGTTCAGAATTGGATCTTCAATGTAGATGATCTCATCTAATTTGTACATTTAGCATTGGCTCAGAGTCTCTGAGAAAATGTCTTCATTCATGAAACAAGGTTTGGAATAAATCATCTTTCTTTGAACATTCCTTAAACCAGTTGAATAACAAATATGTTTTGATGGATGTCAAGTGAAATTTACTTTTGAAAACAAAACTTAACCATTCACTCCTGGAAACCAAATTATAAAGAGGTTTTGATGCATCAGAAAAGGAGTAAAAATGCTGGGAGAATGATCAGGTGATTTCCAGAACCATGTTCAATTTTTAATTATAGGGAGCTATTAGAAAAGGCTGTGCTCACCTCAGAACCCCAGAAAAGCCAATGTTTCTGGGGTCTCAGTGAACCTAATTTCTTGCTAGTATCTCACACAGATATTACCTGTAAACTATTTATAATCCTATCTACTTTATGAAGGCTAAATCCCAGGCAGATGCCTTTTGAGTATCAACATGCAATAGGGATAGATTTAATCTGACATTTCATCAATCATAGCTCTGTAACCATTACTGGGGCATGAGATGAACCGAGAGTCATAATGTTGACCCTCAGGCACCATCTGATCCTGTCCTGGACCTGAAGTCATTAACAATGGCTGAAATCACAAGTCTCCACTGCCCGTCTCCGCTGCCAGGTGAGTTTTCATTTACGTAAGTCATGTACTTAGTTACCTGGTTTCTCTTATATAAGGTTGGAACCTGGTCACTCTGCTTTGAAACATATGACAGCAGCAGCAGCTATCAACCCACAGGCAAAATGATGAGTGCTGATACTGCAGTGGCTACCATATTCATGATAACTATTGGAAAACAGGTTATTTACTGAAGCAAATTTTCTGTATTGATTAAATAGGTCTTTTGTCAAAAAGCATGGTATCTCAAACACATACTTCAAAACAGGTGAAGACATTTTGCTCTAGGTTTCCAAGTATTGACAGTCTCAAGCTTTTTCTTGGGTGAAGCTAATGTTAAATTGAAGCTCGTGATTCAGTAGCATTTTCAGAGGCCAAGAGCATTGCAAAGATTCAAAATGGCAGCATTCCCAGGGATTTGGCATTTCAACATGAAAATCCAGAGTAATTTAGGATTCAACCAATAACACGATAAAGGTCGTCATCTTTGGGATATTATCTTATTTGTCTGAGGATAAGGACAAATCTTCAATAATCAATGGGAAACCACTTTTAACCACTACTAATATCACAACCACTCAATTTATGGTGAGAATCATGCCTTAAGAATCACGAAACCTTAAAAACTAACATTGATTCAGGAATTTTTACATTTTACTTGTATAATAGTAGAGTTTACAGTTATCTGCAGTAATTTTAAACACTATTACTGATATTACTGACTTGATTACCAGTTGACTTTTCCATTTATAGAAATATTACAGTTTTTGCATTACTTATGATGGAAATGAATGGGTACTTATACAAGGTTTTGCCTGTGAACAAACATTTAGAACCAATTATGTTCATATACTGAAGAGTGACTGTATTTTATGGTGTTCTAAATTCTTTAAAAATTGGTGTATACCTATGTAACAAATCTGCACATTCTGCACGTGTATCCCAGAACTTAAAGTATAATAAAAAAGATTAAAAAAAGAAAACATTATGAAATGTAAGCAGGCTAAACACATACACACACACACACACACACACACACACACACACACTTAGATTAACAAATTAAAAAAGATATCTGAGAGATTCCCTTATCAGCTGTGTATTCATTAACAAGTTATTTAACTTCTGTGGCTACATTTCCCTATGTATAAAATAGAGATAATTATAGTTTCCTTAAGGTTGTTGTGATGATTAAATGCATTGGTAAATACAATGTACTTAGAACACTGTCTGACACATATCATGGAAGGCTAGATTAGTGTTTGCCATAAAAACAAAATTGGCACACCCCATACAGTGTAGGATACACATGACATATGGTGGAGATCAGCCACCTATGGAACGTGGGCTGATTTTTATTGGCACCCGGGCAATTTTCACAGACTTTTCACTATCATATCATTTGAGAAATTATTCTACCAAGAAGGTAAGCTCCATGAGAGTAGGGATCTTTGTCTATTTTGTTGACTGCTTTATTCCCAGCTCCTAGAACAATGAATGCCTGGCACATTGAAGGAGATCCAAAGATATAAGTTAAATGAAGAAACAGCCTTCTAGAAAATCCATACCAGATCCTTGTTCCCCACAGAACTGGTATCAAGTTCTGTATGGCTCCAGTAATGCAGCAGGAAAGGAGTGGACTGCCTGTTTCAGAATCTGCTCACCTCTTGGTAGGAGGTCTGTTAAAAAGCATATAGTACGTGGGATAATCCTTTACTCATCAAAACAGTCCCCTTAAGTCCTTTCTGAAACAAGGTAGGGCATACATAAACATAGTTTGTTGCTGTTGTTGTTTTTGAGACAGGGTCTTTGTCGTCCCAGCTGGAATGCACTGGTGTGATCACGGCTCACTGTAGCTTCAACCTCCCAGGCTCAAGTGATCCACTTGCCTCAGCCTCCTGAGTGGCTGGGACCAAAAGGGCATGCCACCACACCTGGCTAATCTTTTTTTTTGTAGAGATAGGCGTCTTACCGTGTTGCCCAGGCTGGTCTTAAACTCTGGGGCTCAAGCGATCTTCCTGCCTTGGCTTCCCAAAGTGCTGGGATTACAGGTTTGAGTCACTGCGCCTGACCCCATAAACACAGTTTGACCAAAAGATTAAACTAATCAGACACTCCATTTTCATATCATTCCAGATCAAGACAGAATGTTAGCAACAATAGTTAATATCAATTAAGTGCTTTCTACATGCACTAACTTTGCTAATCCTCATACCAAGTCTTTGGAATAGGTGATCATCATTCATATTTTCTAGATAAAGCAAAGGAAACTTAAAGTAGGCAAAAAACTCAGTATCATACTGCTGATAGATATGGACCCAGACCCACCCAGCTCGAGTCTGGGCTCTTAAACACGATGCTCTGCTGCCCACCTCTGTCCATGATATTTTGTGATGCTTATTACTGGAATTTTGAATAATAAAACATGAAAAAAAGTCCCTTGTAATGAATATTCAACTCCACGTATGAAGAGGAGTTAGGAGCCTTACCTCATCTTTCATTTCCTTGGCAGCTCTCAGTTTTCCTTTAACCTTTAGTATTTTCTGAGCTTTGTTATAAACCTGAAAAAGTCCAAGTATTTAAGATGGAAAAAGTATAAATGAGCCTGCCCTTTAAAGATTTTCCCAGCTGGATCTAGGCCCTCAGCAAGAGGTTTGGAAAATTTTTCCGAACTGTTAGCAAAACCCACTTGCCTACCCATCTGTTTGCGTTTTCAAAAGTGTGTTAAAACCTCCAGATGGTAGGACCATGGTTTTACATCTTTTCCAGAAAACTACTACTTGGTGAACCAAACAGTTTCTGAATTCACCCTTCTTGGAAAGCAAAAAGTCTGAATCGCGTTTACTTTTTGGATTTCTATGTACTCTATGGCTCAGATATAGTTAACATTATATACTTACTATGAACCAGACATGATGTGCATGACCCAACTTCATTCTCACATGAACCCTGGGAGGCAGGGACTACTACTATCCTCATTTATAGACAAGGAAACTGAGGCCCAGAGAGGCTAAGTGACTTACCCAAGGTCACAGAGGCTCTCTTACTACTCTATGAGGAGCTTCCATTAATTTTGTAACTATTCATATGAAATATCTGATGATGTGATTTTTTTTAAGCATCAGCTTGTTATAATGTTGATGCTCATAAAGTTAGGAAACGTGTGAAGTGCTCAGACTTATCTAGCTAGAAAGCCTCCAAGGAAACCAAAGGTCTTTGCACATGTGTGTGTGTAAGTACAGGATGATGCATTTGAGGTCATAATGCACTGAGCTTATTAAAATTATCTCATTCATTCTGTTTTTAACCCTAAGAATAGAGGAATTTCCACCAGGAACTTACCTGCAGAATAGCTCAAGGAATAAGAAGCTATTAAAATACTCATCTTTTGTAATAAACCACATCCCCTATCCCTAATATAAACCAAGAGGAAGAAAGAATGTTGGTGATATGTGGAATGTGGAATGTTTTATGGAGCTGAATTCTGATTTCCTGCATTGTGTACCCTCTGAAATCTTCATGCACAGAGGTGTGTCGTGGGAATGGAGGTGTGGCTCAGGCTCACCTGGCGGGGACAGGCTAGGTGATGGTGTAGCAACAAACAACCCCCAAGTCTTAGTGGCTTACAACCGTGAAGGTTTATTTTTTACTCTTGCTACATGTCCTTTATGAGTCAGCTGGGGCTCTGCTCCACATCGTCCTCAGTCTCCTCGTAGTCCTCAGCTGGTGGAACTTCTATTATCTAGTATGTTGCCTGTTGCCATGGTAGCAGAAAGGGAACTTGGTGAATCACCTACTGGTTCTTAAAGTGGAAGTGAAACACTTTGCTTCTGCTCACACTTCATTAGCCAAAACAAGTCACATGGCCATGCCTAACTTCTTCCTTTATCTCCCCAAAGAAATATAGGCGTATGTCAGAGAGATTGTGGGTTCAGTTTCTGACCACCAAAATGAAGCAAATATCACAATGAGGCAAGACACACAAATGTCTTGGTTTCTCGGCGCATAGAAAACTTATGTTTACACTATATTGTGGTCTACTAAGTGTGCAATAGTATTATGTCTAAGAAAACAAGGTGCATAACTTAATTAAAAATACTTCATTGCTAAAAAATGCTGATGTGGACACAAGGGAGCACATGCTGTTGGAAAAATGGAGCCAATAGACTTGCTTGATGCAGGATTGCTACAAACTTTCTATTTGTTAAAAACGCAATATTTGTGAAGCATGGTGAAGTGAAGAGCAATAACACGAGGTATGCCTGTATTGGTGAACATCACAAATGACTTCCACACTAGTAAAGCAAGAAGATTAAAAATAGCGTGGCATAAAAGAACACTAAACATGGTTCTAGGCCACCAAGCTTCTAAACCTGGTTCAGCAGCTCACTGGAGGAGTGGCCTTTGGAAAGGTCTTCATATCTCTGCACCTTCATTTCTGCTTCTGTAAACTAGGAAGCTGTAATAAATGGCCTTTAGAAGTCTTTCCTAGCTTTCAAGTTCACTGATTCAGTGCTCTACCATGATGGACATCTTTCTGTAGGAGGAACTATGAACTCAGCCCAAGTATCATACAAAAAGTTGTAATGGAACAAATGTATCCTTGAGAATCATACTTCTTTGCAGGCAAGCCCACTGGATAGTCAGGAGATGATTCTGAAACCAAATGAAATCTTGTCCAAAAGACAGAAAACTTATTTCTAGATTGTGATGGTTTCATCCATTATGGAGTTACACAGCTGTAGTTGCAAGAGCCAAGAGCATTTCGAAGAAAAAGTAGAAGGCATAGGTTCTAATATTTGCATGAAAATATACTGAATTTGCTAAGTAAGGTAAGAAGGAAAAAGAGAGCTGGAGTTTGTTGCATGACGGAGACGTCAGAATCTTGAGTCATTAACAATAGCAGCGGGCAGTTTGGAAGGGCTTATGATGAAAAAACTGGAAGTGTTATATGATAAGTTTTTGATGCATTTGACAGTAATGTCTGCCAGATGGATAGGGAAGAGTGCTTTGGGGGAGCCCCACAGGGTTTACGAAATGCTCATGGGAACCTTCACAGTACTGTCTGACTGAGGAGTGTGGCTGGACAGATACTTTGTGGAGGAAGGGCTCATCCCAGAAGGAGGGACTCTCTACCAGATCCCCAGCTACCGACTCTCTGAAGCCAGGACTTTGCTCATGTCTCTCTCCTCTCAAACCTTTGTTCTTACAAAGACGCCTCTTGCCTCTCTGTTGAGACCTTCATTTCTTCATGCCTTGTCTGCTGCCATCTGCCCTGGGAACTCCTTTCTTGTATTCAAAACTCCTGCCATCTGCTTTCCAAAGTAGGCCTTCTCTTGGTGACAGCTGTGCCTAAAAAAAGTGATTGTAGTGAAAACAAAGACTTGGTCAGAGCTTCTAGTGATGTTTTGTGCCTCCCCTCAGTCCACTCTCAGAGCACCTTGCAGATTCCAAAGAAACACCTAACACCACACCTCAAATGGGTGACTAAGGCAGCAAGTATCAAGTTAGGTGTGCAAAAAGAGAAAATACATATTTCTATTACTCAGTGTTTTTGTTAAGCCCCATTTTCACCAAATGGCAGAAAACATAATCTTAGTTATTTCTGAGAAAGCACCATGACTTTCAGGTTAAAAATGAATCAGTTCATGATTCCCTCACAGTTCATGATTCCCTCAACCTCTTTAAGGCCTCTCCAGAGTCCGCCTAAGATTTTGAGGTCCCAGTTTGGATCCTGGCACCAGGGAAGCTTCTGGTCCATGGTCATGGCCATCTCTCCCAGGTAGAGTATGCTGAGGTGTCACTGTCCTGGTCAGTAGGCCACATGTATTAATATTAGTCTGTTCTCACATTACTATATGGAAATACCCGAAACTGGAAAGAAGTTTAATTGACTCACAGTTCTGCATGGCTGGGGAGGCCTCAGGAAACTTACAATCATGGCAGACAGCACTTCTTCACAAGGCGGCAGGAGAGAGAATGAGTGCCAGCAGAGGAAATGCCAGACGCTTATAAAACCATCAGATCTCATGAGAACTCATTCACTATCACAAGAACAGCATGGGGGAAAACACCCCATGATTCAGTCACCTCCCACCAGCTCCCTGTCACAACACAAGGGGATTGTGGGATTATAATTCAAGATGACAAAGCCAAACCATATCACCTTATATCCTGTGTCTTCCTCATCCTAAGGGCTTTTGGGTCGCCTGGCCCTTCCTCATCCTTCGAAGATGTTCCTCCCTGTTCCCCATGAAGACACAAACACATGCACACACACACCACACATACAGACACACACACACCACATGTGAGTGGTTTCAGACTGTCTTTTAGATCTGTCCTATCAGCATTCTATATTATACCTTGAAAGGTATTGAGAGAAAGGGGACATGATATTCACTTTCCTGGTTTTGATCAAAAGTCCCTCTGCCCTTGAATTGCTAAACCTATCTGGGAATCTATTGTTTTCCCTCCCTTCTGCCCCATTTCATAGATCTCACCAGGGTCTAATTCTCCTGCTTACATTCTAATAATCCTATTCCTCCTCTTTCCTAACTCAGAGGGTGTTTGTTTAGTTTTGGGGAGAGGATCGAAAAGGGGTACAAGTGAACAAGTTCTTTGAAGTGCAGTCTGAGCAGGCCAGGATGTGAAACACATCAGTTAGTACTTCACATGCCACCTGTCCACATTAGGTTACACAAATGACATAATCACAGATTGCTAATTTTGACTCCCTCCCCAAGGAACTGGTAATTGCCTGGGTATATGGTTGACTCCTGGCCTTACGGCAACATTGTTGCTCTAAGGAACACCGACTATTCCTTTTCCCTCATGGCCGGGATGGAAGAATATCAAGGATCTGTTTTTCCTAATCTAAAACATGTTTCTGAGTTTTCAAGGAAAGATGCTTTTTTGGTTTAAAATTAAAACTATCTTTGTGGGATAATACAAACTAACTTAGGCTTACCTATACTAAGCCATAAGTCTTTCCTTTACTTATGTTGGGCTTTAGATTTTTCTCCCATGTTCTACCTCTTACCAATGAAAATAGTGTGATGAATCTTAGAGCTCTTCATTATTGAAATGATGAGAGGGTGCTCAACATTTTCTGTATTTTTAAAAATAAGTGAGCCCCATGAACAGACAGGGATGCTTATTCGATACTAAATTATTTCTATCCAGAATGTATGACTGGAGCCAATGTGCAGAGGCTTTTTGGCATGAAGAGAGTTTGCCTTTTGAATCCAAACCCAGTTCTAAAGGAGAAAATCCCTGGTAGTGTAGGGCATAACCGGTAGGGGGAGAAGGTATGAGGAGATGATGTTGGAGATGGTTTTGCCAGGGTTTGGGGTTCTGCAGAGTAACAGTGAATAGGAACCTGACACCAATGTCACTGACTGAGCCATAGTCCAGTTCCAGGACTGAGGTTCTTCTGGAGAGAAAGTAGGGCTAATTGGGTCCCCCCAGAAAGAGGCTTTTGGATGACAGAAGAAATGAGGGCCAAGAGGAGCAGGAGAAGGAATCCAGGATTTATGAGACTCACTGTCCTAGATGAAAACTTCTCCCCCTGGCTCTCTCCTTTACTACCTTTCACAGAGGCTGTTTGTTGTCTGTCCCAACATCCATATTCATCCATACTCTTTATTTTCCTTAGTAACAGATGCTCATTTTATTGGGATGCACAGGCACTCATCTAAAAGACTCTATCTCCTAGCCTCTCTTGCAGCTAGGTATGATTATGTGTCTAAGTTTTGGTCAACGAGACATACAAGGAAGTATTGTGGGGACGTCCATGAAATCTTCTTAAAGAGAAGTAGTGCACAGCTCTTTGTTCTTCCCACCTTTTTAATGGCTTGCAATGCTGATTTAGTGCCTGGTGTTCCAGAAGCCATCTGGAACATGATGCCCTAATGCTATGAAACCACCATTGTCAGCCCTGGATAGAAAGAGCAATATCTATCTTGCTTAAGTCATGATTTTGTTTTTAATTTTTCTGTTTCATACACCTGAATCTAATGCAAGCTGACACTGACAAAACACCCTTATTGAAGTTACTCTCAGAGATGTCTCTCTACAACTCACTCACCATTTCTAGCACCTCCACTAGTTGCTTTTACTCTACATTTTGGAACCCCTTTTTCGTCGTGGACCAGCTCTTCGGTGATTCCACAGATAGGTTTCTCAAATGCCCCTTCCCTTCCTCGACTTGCCTTGGTTTTCTCTCCAGACATCAGTTCTTTGTTTTCACTTTCTCCTTTTCCACTTGCTGTATGGAGTAGAAAGAGCCAGGGTCAGGGAGAGAGGAACATCTCAGCCCTCCCACTGCCACCACCATTACTCCCATGCCATTTTGGAAAATTTCCCATTTTGAAGTACACAGTCACGTAATCTTTGTTGCCATTATCATTGACTGACATGGAGCAAATTCTGTCATTTGGTCGCTCTTTCTTTCTTTATGAGATATATTCTTTCTGCCTGTCAAAAGTCACACATCTTCAAGACCCAACCCAATTGCCATTTCTTTCACCTTCCCTAAACTACATGTCCTATTAACTCTTGTATGGCAGCTACTATATGCCAGGCAGTGTTCTGAACATAAAATAACAGAGCTAATTCTCACAGCAGCCTTGCCAGGTGTGTACTCTTTCCCTCTTACAGCCCTTTTGCTATACCTCTTTTAACACAATGATCTGCCTTTATTATGGTTGTTTGTGATTTGCCTTGTCTCTCCCCAAAGGTAGCAGTGATGTATTCTGGTGAAAGAACAGGAACACACAGACCTTTTTGAAATAATTTTAGATTTCCAGAAAAGTTGCAAAAATAGTACAGAGAGTTCCTGTATACCGTTTCCCTAGTTTCCCTAGTATTAACATCTTACATGATGATACAATGATCAAAACTAAGAAATTAACATGGGTCCAAAACGACGAACAAAACTATGTACTTTGTTAGTATGTCACCAGTTTTTTCACTAATGTCCTTTTTCTGTTCTAGGATCTGATCCAGTATTCCATATTGCATTTAGTTGCCTTAGGTCTTTAGACTCCACTAATCTATGATATTTCCTCAGTCTTTCCTGTCTTCCATGACTTGGACACTTTTAAACAGTACTGGAAAGTTATTTCATAGAATGCCCCTTAATTTGAATTTGCCTGATTTTTTTTTCTTTTTCTTTTTGAGATAGGGTCTTACTTTGTTGCCCAGGCTGGAGTGCAGTGGTGTAATCACAGCTCACCACAACCTGGACTTCCCAGGCTCAAGCAATACTCCCACTTCAGCCTCCTAAGTAGCTGGGGCTACAGGCACTCACCACCATGCCTGGCTAATATTTGTATTTTTTTGTAGAGACAGGGTTTTGCCAAGGCTGGTCTCAAACTCCTGAGCTCAAGTGATCTGGCTGCTTCGGCTTCCCAAAGTGCTCGATGTTTCTCTGTGCTGAGATTGAGGCTATGCATTTTGGGCAAGTGTATCATACACCTTCTTAGTGTATCATGTCGGGGGATACATGATATCCATCTTATCCCTGATGACGTTGGCCTTGGTCACTTGGTTATGCTGGTGTCTACTGGGTTTATCTACTATAAAGTTACTATTTTTCCCCATTATAATTAATAAATATCTTGAGGGAGATACTTTGAGAGCATACAAATATCCTGTTGTTCTTTAAACTGTCTCCTGCTATCTTTAGTAAGGTGGATCTCACTTGCAATAATTATTACAGTAGTATTTTAATGGGGGTCTTCTTTTTCCTTTATTTCTTTTACATTTATTTACTGGAATTATTCTGTAAGAAAGAGCTGCTCTTTTTCACCCATTTAAATAATGTTTTGTTCACATCACTATGAACTCATGGATATCTATTATATGGGCTATAATCTAATACTGTTATTTATTTTGTTGCTCAAACATTCCAGCTTTGGCCAATGGGAGCTCTTTCAGGTTGGTTCCTGGGCCCTTTCAAAAATACCCATTCTTAAGCGCATCCTTCCTTTTGGGTACAATATGCTCCAGGTTCATCTTATACTTTCCCTGCCTCAGCCACTTCGTCATGGAGTCAGGGCTCACATTTTGACTCAAGTTAACTTCTCTGAGTCTCAGTTTCCTCATTCGGAAACAACTGGAACAATAATACCTACCTTACAGGGTTGATATGGGGATTAAATAAATAATGTAATGGGGTAATATTTAGATACTTTTAATGGGCATTTTTTCTTTGCCCTCTCCAACATAAACTCCAACATAGACTCTGCTTCTCGAGTTACTCTGGGCTGGTACTATGAAACAAGACGCTTAAGAAAAGATTTTCCAAATTCCTTTATCTGCTCTCACCAACCCAGCCCTCCTCCATCTTCTCCCAGGTTTCAAAGGGCTCAACAAAAAAGTCAAGGCCTTTTGGGGGTGATATTATCAACTGGCATTCTCAGAGGTGCCTGCTCTCCAGCAGGAGAAGGGTTAAATGCTTGGTGATAACTTCAGCTCTGAACTGCCAAGTCTCTTAGGTTCAGCTCAGCAATCAAACCGCATAACCTAATAGAGCCCCTGGTGCTATGGGAAACACAAGACACTGATTTATATTTTAATATCAGTAATTTCCACAAGAGCAACATTTCTGAGTGTCATTTTACAATTTCTGTCAAACGCCAGCTCGGTTTTTCTTAATTCTGTTTATTGTGTCTGAATTTGCAACCTCATCCGCAATGCAGATTCTTGACTCCCAAGAGAGAAGAACATTTCCATCTTTCTCTAGAGTGGGAGGGATGAGGATGAGGGGCAGAAATGGGCTTATAAGACAATTGAAAATGTAAATGAAGTACTGTTTATTAAGAAATGATTGTGAAGTATTTTTGTTAAAAAAAAAAAAAAAAAAAGACAGTCCTGAACAAACTTAGCAAAAAATGACAAACAAAAGAGATGTTTCAGATCCAAATTGGAATCTTTCCTTCCAGAAGGAAAAACTGTGTGTACACTGCGGAATCGAGAGAAGGGAACCAGTACGGGGAATATCTGGCCATGTTTACTGTACTATCGTTGCTATGGCCATTAGCACTACCGCAGTTTGTAAAGTGCTTTGGGATCCTTAAGGATCAAAGGTGCCTGGCTACATAAATGCCAGATGTTGCCATTAGGAAGAAGGAGCCTGCTTCTCTCCTGTATTCTTTGAACATCTAATAAAAGAACAAAGCTGGTGTTGCTGGCACCAAACCACATCTCCTACTTGGTGTGTTCAAGGGGTGAGGGAGCTTCCCAAAGCCATCGGCTGCAGATACCTACCCTTGCATGCCCAGTCTGTCCACTAGTTCCCCGCAGGCCTGCAGCTCCAGTTTCTACATGGGTCCTTTCCCGCACAGTACATAAGCAACCTCCTGTAAGGGCTCAATATCATGGTCTTCTTTGAGGGCTGAAATGTAGCTTTGCTAGAGGGTACCTCTCCCATGGTTGCTGCAGAAAGCCAGCTAAGAAGCAAGGCACTTAGAGGCCAGGGAAGCTTCTGGTGCATACTCTGGGCCCTTCCTACATGGGACTGGTGTTAGTCTCCACAATCCTGCTTTTCTGCAAAGCCACAGCCCTGGTAGATTGTAGTGAGCCCAGAGCTACTTGTTCTGCCTCCACTGGTGTTAAGACCTCATACTTTTCACAAGCATCCTTCAGTTTCATATGCTCTAAATCCAACATCATGTCTCATTGCCAAACCTCTGGCAGGAGCCGTGTTGAGTTTCTCAGTGGAGCTATCGACCACATTGACTGAAGCCGCAGCAACGTGTTTCTCCCCGTCCAAAAGGGTAAAAATAACAGGAACAAGTTGTCGGAAATGAAATTTCAATTCATCCACGCCCTTTCTACACTTCTGCTGCGACTCCCAAGCAGGGATCGATAGTGTTTAGACAGCCAAGGAGATTTTTTCCCCTCTTAAAGCACCAGATCAATAGTAAAAAAAAAAAAAAAAAAAAAAATCTCTAGCCCTCTGTATGTGTTGTAGTAAATGTGAACAAATCAGAGGCCTTTGGCTAAACAGATTGACTGAGGCAGCAGCAGTCTGGTGCTTTGTAACTAAGAGCACATCAACTGCACAAGTGGCAATGAGGGAGGAAACTCCAGTGCTCCCATGGTCCTGGTAACCAGGAGCCTTCAAAGGGAATGTCCGTCCCCAAAGTGAGTGGAAGAAATGAAAAGATTCCTGTGCACTGCAGCATTTGGGCGTAACTTTTTTAAAAAAAATTAAATACTCGCCGGGTGAGGTGACTCACACCTGCAATCCCAGCACTTCAGGAGGCTGAGGCGGGCGGATCACGAGGTCAAGAGATCGAGACCATCCTGGCCAACACGGTGAAACTCTGTCTCTACTAAAAATACAAAAATTAGCTGGGCGTGGTGGTGTGTGCCTGTAATCCCAACTACTCGGGAGGCTGAGGCAGGAGAATCACTTAAACTCAGGAGGTGGAGGTTGCGGTGAGCCGAGATCGAGCCACTGCCCTCAAGCCTGGCAACAGAGTGAGACTTCATTAAAAAAAAAAAAAAAATTAAATTAAATTAAATCAAACACTCAATAAGGATTATGGGTCATCACAGAAGTGCATTTTATTGGAAGACAGCTTGGGTACTGCACACTTCCTTTCCATTTTGTCTCTTGCCTCTTTTATTTTTACTTTTAAAAAAGTTCTTAGCTATCTATGGCTTTTTCTCATTGCTTCATAAGTTTTCTCCCTATATTGCTATCCACTTCTCAAACATCTGAGAGTCAACTCAAACACTGAGTCCCGATCCAGGGACTCAAAAGACTATCATGAAGCTAGCCCTTCCTTGTGGGATTAAAAAATTATTCAGGTTGCAAAACTCAAAGGTGAACTGCTATGAATATGTGAACACTGTCCTTCATTATAAAAGGCTTGTTATTCTTATTAATGATTATAGTGCTGACTTCTTTAATGAATTGATTATATTCATTATAAAACAAAGCATTGGCTGAATCTAGCATAGAAGCATATAAGAAGATAGCATGCCAACACGTATTAGTTTAGATAACATAGTCTTTTGTAGTAGGTTTAGTTAAATAAATGTTTATAATCACAGATAAAAGAAATGATTCTTACCGATTGTGCTGTGTTCACACTTCTGTTTACAGGGGTGTCCAATCTTTCGACTTCCCTGGGCCACATTGGAAGAAGAAGAATTGTCTTGGGCCACACATAAAATACACTAACGAGAGCTGATGAGCTAAAAAAAGAATAAAAAATTGCAAGAAAAATCACATAATGTTTTAAGAAAGTTTATGAATTTGTGTTGGGCCACATTCCAAGCTGTCTTGGGCCGTATGTGGCCCATGGGCCGCGGATTAGACAAGCTTGGTTTAGAAGCTTCTCACGGAGTCACTTTGCTTCGTATAAGCCCATAGTTTAGACCAGACCTATTCTCCTGGTCACTGGCATATCTCACAGGTATTCTAGAAGGGAGGTGCACCTCAGTCACTTCAAAAGTCAAGAGGTGGCTGATACCTGTAATCCCAGCACTTCGGGAGGCCAAGGTGGGCGAATGGCTTTGAGCTCACGAGTTCAAGTCCAGCCTGGACATGGCGAAACCCCATGTCTACTAAAAATACAAAAAATGAGCCAGGCATGGTGGTGCACACCTGTAATCCCAGCTACTTGAGAGGCTGAGGCACGAGAATCACTTGAGCCCGGGAGGCAGAGGTTACAGTGAGCTGAGATCACGCCAGTGCTCTCCAGCCTGAGCAACAGAGTGAAACTCCTTCTCGGGGAAAAAAAGAAAAAAAAAAAAAGGCCAAGAGGTTAGGGGATAGCAGGAAATGTCTCTCTCGATGATTATTTCCAAAGATGAAAGGATAAACAGAGACTATAAATATGAGCTTGCTTATTAATTCAAAAGTGCTGAGAACCCAGTATGCATCAGGTGAAGCAGAAATGTACGATGAGAAGTGTAACTCCAAAAATACCGGTGCCCTATAATGAGCTACCTTGTGCTGTAGCCTCTCCCTCTCCAGTGGTTCTTCTTATTAGCACGTTCACATTTCAACATTTGAATATGTAACAGTCCTGTTGGTTTCAAAATGTGATAAGGAGTTGGGCTGGGTTTTCCTTTGCCCCTCACATACTCTCTGCCTCTCTCCCCTCCACTCTGTACTCCATGAGCTGCATCAACCAGCTCTCTTGCCCTCTGCTCTCTGGCCCCTGCTTGGTTGACCAGTGCAGAACATCAGTAGGAAGGTCAGTGGGAGAGGGGACTGGGTCATCAGCTTCTGCCCTGCCAGGTCCCCAGAGGGTCTTGGGGCCTTCTCCACTCCCCATTTCAGGTCTGCTCCCTCCCCTGGCCCCTGAGGCTTGGAGGTGGTCAAGGCCTACCCTTACTACACCTGGGCACTGCATGCCACCTTGTAGCGTCCTTATACCATGGCCACATCTTTATGCCTAGTTCCTCTATGAAGTAGTCCACAAATTACTCAGCTTGAGCATGCCATCTGCTTCCTGGTGGGATCTTAGTTTATAAGGTAAATAACGGGAAGTTTCATTTGCAGGCATGTTAGTTGCCTAGAGCTACTGTAACAAAATACCACACTCTAGGTGGCTCCGGAGGCTGGGAGTCCACGATGAAGGTGTTGGTGGGCTGGCTCCTTCTAAGGGCTGTGATGGAGAATCGGTTCCAGGTCTCTCTGCTAGCTTCTGGCAGTTTGCTGGCCATCTTTGGTGCTCCTTGGCTTGTAGACTCATCATCCCCATCTCTGCCTTCATCTAGACACAGTGTTCTCCCTATGTGCATGTCTGCCTCCAAATTTCCCTTTTATAAGGACACCAGTCATGTTGGTGTTACCCTATTCCAGGTTGCCCACATCTTAACTAATTACATCTGCAATGATGCTATTTCCAAATAAGGTCACATTCTCAGGTTCTGGGGGGTCAGAACTTTAACGTATGAATTGGGGTGGGGGGCTACACAACTAAACCCATAACAGCAGTTACCTATGAGTAAGAATCTTCTATTATACTGGGGGAAAAAATCCTCTCCTGCCCTCCTCCAGCCACTGTCTTCTCTCTCCTCTCTGTCCCTCACTTCTCATCTTCATGGATGAATTGTTAGCATTTGCTGCCTCTTGATATTTCCTCTATCCCTCTTTCCCCACACTCACCTTGTCACCCCTACCCTGGTGGCAGCAACTCTGAATGGTCAAGGTCAAAGTTTTGGTTGTCAACTCCAGGGGGTCTTTTTTGGTCCTTATTGTGTCTGACAAACTTGACATCAGTGGCAACCTCTAGAAACATTTTCTACAAGCACTTTCTCCTTCTAGAAACGCTTTCTGTCCTTCGTTTCTGAGACTCTCTCCCAGATTTCCTCCTGCTTGTCTGACAGCTCCTTCATTTCCTTGGCAAGTTCTCTCCTTCTGGCCATTCCTGAAATGGTCCCAGGTTCTTCCTGGTCTTGTCCTTCCCATTCTCACTTACATCCTCCCTGGTCTTGTTCTCTCTTGTCAGATTTCAGTTATCATCCATAGCAGATTGTTCCTACAATAACATCTCCAACACAGCTCTCCATCTGGAGCTCCAGATCTAGATAACAACTGCTTTCTACACAGGTGTGCTCCACGGATCCACAGGCTTCTGCAATTCAATCTCTCCAACACTAAATCCATAAGCCTCTACTTCAAACCTGCTTCTCCTCTGATATCACCTTTTTAATGTATTTAACAAACTTGCATAACGTTTATTGTGTGAGAAGGAGAGGCACAATTCCGAGCACTTCACTATTAACTTACGTAATCTGCGTAACAGCCCTATGATATAGGTACCGTGGTTATTTTTATTGTAAATGAGAAACCAAGGCACAGAGAAGTGAATAAACTTGCCCAAGATCACAGAGTAGTATGTGGTAAAGCAGGAATTCAAACCCAAGTAGCCCAACTCTGGAATTTGTTCTTTTTTTTTTTTTTTTTTTTTTTTTTGAGACAGAGTCTCGCTCTGTCACCCAGCCTGGAGTGCAGTGGCCGGATCTCAGCTCACTGCAAGCTCCGCCTCCCGGGTTCACGCCATTCTCCTGCCTCAGCCTCCCGAGTAGCTGGGACTACAGGCGCCCGCCACCTCGCCTGGCTAGTTTTTTGTATTTTTTAGTAGAGATGGGGTTTCACCGTGTTAGCCAGGATGGTCTCGATCTCCTGACCTCGTGATCCACCCGTCTCAGCCTCCCAAAGTGCTGGGATTACAGGCTTGAGCCACCGCGCCCAGCCTGGAATTTGTTCTTAACCACTAAATAGTGCATCAATGAAAGGAACTGCCATCTACTTCGTTTGTTCCAGCACAGAAATCTAAGCACCATCTTGATTCTTCTTTGTCTTTCTCTCTCTCTCACTCACTTCAACTCCCAGGCTCTTCATCCCATCACTTACCATGTCCTGCCTATTGGACTTTCCCAATTAATCTTCTACTGGACCTCTTCTCCTCAACTCCAATACTACTGCCCACTCCTCCAACAACTAGAGATACGATCATGTCATTTGCTTGCCTAAAGCCTTTTAATAATTATCCATTGCTCTCAAGGTAAAGTACAGACTCTTAAATGGTTAAGACGCCTTTCTTGATCTGCATCCTGCTTTCTTTTTCTTTTTTTTTGAGACAGAGTCTCACTCTGTCACCCAGGCTGGTGCAGTGGTGCAATCTCGGCTCACTGCAACCTCTGCCTCCCAGGTTTAAGTGATTCTCCTGCCTCAGCTTCCCGAGTAGCTGGGACTACGGCCGTGTGCCATAACACTTGGCTAATTTTTGTATTTTTAGTAGAGAAGGGGTTTCACCATGTTGCCTAGGCTGGTTTTGAACTCCTGACCTCAAGTGATCCACCTGGCTTGGCCTCCCAAAGTGCTGGGATTACAGGCATGAGCCACCATGCCCAGCCTTGTGTCCTATTTTCTGACCCTCCTCCCTGCCTTTCTTTACATTTCCCACCAGAGCTCTACTGAACTATGTTCAGTTTCTTGGACACACACCCAGTCCTTGGCCCATTCTGCTTATGCTACGGCTATGTGCATCGCTCCATTTCTCTCCTCCCATCATCTTTGGGTTACCTCCAGCTGATTCTTCAGAACTCAGGGAAACATCATTTCCTCTACTAAGCCTTCTCTGAATCCCCAAGCCTGGGTTCTTCCTCCAAGCATGTGCTCCCTTCCCGATATGAATGTCCCCACTGGGGCAGTCCTCACACTATACAAGAATTGTGGGCATACTTGTGTGTATCTTCCTCTAGACTGCAAAGTCCGTAGATCAAGGGATTGTATTTTTTTTTGTTCACTGTCTTATCTGAAGTGAGTAGAGAAATAACTGGCACATAGTAGATGATCAGTAATATTTATTGAAAGAATGAAGAGCCAAATTAACTAATTTACAGTAAGAGATCACTGTCATGGGAACTGGAATACTTTTAGTCCACATGACCAGCACACATTCTTTCTAGAGGCAGACCAACATGAGAAGCCAAAGAGGGTTTTGGGTGACAGAATCAGAAGTAAGGGATACTGAAATAATCTGATATTGAATTGTAACTGACTAGGAGAGCATCTTGTAACTATCTTAGAGAGCAAAGATCTTGGGGCTGATAAAATCAGTCTGTTGGCTGAAGCTCCCTCTCTCCTGGACAGAGCAAGGAGGGGTCCACCCATCATTCCCTCTGGGACTATATGTTCCCCCCTTGTCTGCATCATGAGACTGATAAGCTCTTTCATACATACACTACTCTGGTCCAGTCAAATTTTGCAGATCTGAGATTCATCCTGTCTCTCTAAGGTGACGCTGGGTATGGTTCAGCTCTCCCAGAATAACCTTTCTTTCATTTTCAAGTTCTGGAAGAAGCCCCCCTGTAATCTACTTTGAAGTTGCAGAATGTTCCAAATGTCTTCTGCTATTCAGAGGTGCCGTGGATCATTTTCTATTCAAATAGTCAAGAAATATTTTATGGAGACAGTTGCATTTGATCTTACTTTTGATTCTGACAGATGAAGAGGGGCTATATTCTAAGTTGAGGAGAAATGAAATTTTCAAGCTGAAGCTGGAAGAGAAGGAGAGGCTGGGATGTGAAGAGCTGTAGATGCTAGAATTCAGAGTCTGAAATTTATCTAGAGGCAACAGGGAGCCCTGAAGATTTTCAAGCTGGGGAGCGACACATCAACAATTACTTCATGTACATTAGCCTGACCTCTGTGTGTAGGAGACCGAATAGATAGA